GGATTTGGCTATTTGGAGACTGGGTCGCTGGAACAAGGATTTTATTTGCCTGGCCAGCTACAGTCCTTCAACAAGATCAATGTTTTTCACCTCTCTCACCAGTGTTAAATCTTTGCCTGAATGGCGTTACTAAAAACGCCGATGGCGCACTGGGAGGCCTTGCTTTCAGTAGCAATGATAGTTCGATCGTCGTGCACGACGATGTCCACCATGTTCTGCGCATCAAGACGAAACAGGCACGGTGACATGCGCATGAATTAATTTGTAATGGGAGTGGACTTGCGCAGCATCTACCGCGCTTTCTCCTCCCTCTCCCACCTTAACCTGGTGCCAAGACGTAGTCAAGAAGACCAGAGATTGGAGAGGGCGCAGGCGGCTGGCGCGGCAGGACCTGCACCTAGGCGTACCACCACGCCTCCTGGTGCTGCGCTTGACCAGGATTTCAACCAACAAGAACGCGACGGGTCAGAAGGGGGGAGGATGACGACCGAGGAGGCATACTCACGACCTGCATACTTAGCGGGAGCGCATGCGCATGTACCGGCAGGAAATCAGGGGCCAGAGGACTACTAGCGCACGCTAGATTGCAAGAGCCACGGTTTGCTGAATAATGGCATATCGGATGGTCTCAAACTTGAATTCGGTAGCAGTATTAACGAGCCAAACTGCCGAAGTCATATGTGGTTTCACGACGACAACACCCTGTGGATGCTGCTCCTTTGTATGCCTGTCCCTCTTTTCCACTGTTGCTTTTGGAGTCCGAGGGTAATTACCAAACGACAGACCGAGTCCCGGAGCTCTCACTTGATTAAAGTTTTCCGAATTCAGTCCCAGTGTTTGAACTGCGTTACCTGCAGGCGGCCTATATACGACGAGTGAAATCAGATCTTTGTTAAGAATTGGAACACGTGGTTAACCTAATATTGCCATGGTAGCCTCTAGCTCCATGATTTCCCCTTTCCCCTTCATTTTTTTGCTCTTTAACGCTCCCCTCTTTCATTTTCTTCCCCTATGGTGTTTGAGTTACTAACTTTATCGATTAACCAGCTTTACCCAAAACCATGACCTTGCTTTTTGGCATTGATCTACTGTATGAATTCAAACTATGCTATTCTTCTCACTCGTTATCTCTCTTATGAAGGGACAGAACGCAGCTGACGAGCCGTCGCGAAATGTTTTGGTACCATTTAATCCTGCCCTTCTTGCCTACTTCAGCTTCGTACCGGGGAGAACATGTTTCAAATATGCCTTTTATTCGAGTACTCTTGCCATCAGCTGACTAATGGTGTGGCTTTCGCGCCTACAAAAACTATCGATCAGTTTTATAATCAGTGAGAAGAAATTATGTGACCGGGGAAGTGTTACTAATTGTGAACTGTCTCACATATTTATCTACGTAGGCGTTGTTCGGTAGAGTTTTTGGTCGGAACCCAGTTACGCGCTTTGACGGCTCTAACTCCGGCAGGATGACATTTTTGTTCCAAACAGCCCCTAAGACGTGGTGCAGCAAAAATGTCTATATGGACTCACTGTTCTGCACCTCCTACTCGTTTTCCGCAGTTAACGCGTTGGAAGAGGCCTCTTCCTACGCGCAATCCCACCGCTCACATCACCGTCATGTCCGGGTACCCAACGGAGAACATTACGACACGACCGCAATATGGGACAGAAAGGTCTCCAATGCCTCATTTAGGCCACAGATGTTCATCCTAAATCAAAGGCGGCACTGTACATTGTTCACGTTGACCCCAACCACTCTGCTGGACACGATGTCTCTTTCGATTAGTTTCGTTTAAAGACAGCTCCAGTACGCTTCTATGGGGCCACACCCGTATAGGTCTTATTAACACAATTTCCTTAGGAATGCGCCACACTGCATTTATCTCAACGTCGAGGTTAGTAAAAAGATGACTTTCCAAGCCTGTCGGCAAGAATAAAAGCTCCTTAATTAAGCGTTTCGGACAGCCTATCATTCTCACGAACATCAGCACTTTAAATCAGTAAATGGTCTCTCCCTTATGCCATCGATTTCCCCCTTTAGGGCGTAGGAGGCTGAGCGTGAACAGCGGAATTTCGTGGCGGACAGGATATTTTGTCGTTCAAACAGGTTCGCGTGTTGCTGCGACGAATGATTATACCAATAAGCCCTAGAAACAGCAAAAATCCTCAAGAGCCTCAGCACAGTCTGTACAAATCAGATTTTCCGCCGGCCCGGCAGCGTATTAAAACGTTCTTGCTCTTATCATCTCGGCTCGTCATCATCATCATCACCACCCCCACCACCACCACCATAATTATCATCATCACCAACCTCATCATTAGTACCGACGAGGCATGTAAAGAACGGGGTTAAGTCTACTGCGTTGAAGGGGGATGGGAGAGTGGAATGAGGCGGCTTGGAATTGGGATTTTCCTCACCGCATTTAATGTCTTCCTCCTCTTCAACAAAATCGGACAATGGAAAACAGGGTTGTGTCTGTTTGTGTCCTTAGGGAGAAAACAAGGGGTCAGGGCACGGAAGCCTTGCTGAAAGTTCAAAGCATTGCTAGCTCTGCTTCAGGGCAGAATTAATCTGTGGGCACATGAATGACCTCCATTTGGCCAGAAAACTGATGACTCAACACTGACTTGGGTGTTGACCGGACCGAAAACAGGCAGTTATTATTTTTCATTTATGTTCTAGCAAAGACCACATGTTCACAATATTCTACCGCCTGTGACCGTATGCTCGACCGTCTTTTAGTCTGATTTAAAAAAATCGGAAAGGCATTAAAAAGAGATAGAGAAGAGGCGCAAAGGTATGGCAAGGATTACCTCTCATGAATTATGAAACACTTTTTCCCTCTACGACGTTGAAGCAAGCATGCAAAGCAAAATTTATTGAAACCAACAAATTGCACGACGGCTCATCAGCTGCGTATTATCGTTTCATGAAATAAATAACGAGTAAGAAGAATAGCATAATTTGAATTCATACAGTAAATCAATGCCACACAGCAAGGTCATGGCATGGGGTAACGTAGGCTAGTCATTAAAATTAGTAACTTAAACGCAGTATGAGAACGGATAGTGGGGAAACAGTAACAAGCAAACAGGAAAGGGGAAATGTAAAAATCAAGGAGCTACAGGTTACCACGGCATAGTTAGGATAATCACATTTTCCAACTGGGTACATAGGTCTGGTTTCAGCCGCCATATATAGGCCGCCTCCAAGTTACGCAGTGTCCGAGTTGTTCGTGTCCGCTTGCAAATTTGCTTCAATTCCCGCGAATTAATTTAAAAAAATACGAATCCCGGGAATGTTAAAGAAAATTCCCTTCACTGTTTTACTCTCAGTCTCTCCGTTTAATGCGGCCTGAGAGTTTAAAAGTAGCCAGACTGATGCATTTCATCTAAGTGAAAAGTCACCTTCCGTGGTTTCGCCGCCAGCTAACTAATGGAGTGATCTTCGAGAAGGGCTGATCGTAGGATGCAAATCAGGTCACTCATCGCTTAAAACTTCGATATTGCTCCCCCGCCCACCCAATCACACGGAGCTTACTCTGGGAGCACTAACACAGCCCATTAATGGCGACTGATGTGAAAGCCAGTGCAGCCTGTCGAGCCTACACGAGTCCAGGCTGCTAGGACGACTTCCATTTTGTAACAAATTGTCCTCCTGCCGGTGCTGATGCTGCTACCGCGGCCGTCTTCATGTCTGCCTGACCAAACTGAGAAAAATAATTATCGAAAGTTCGGAGCAGTAAAATATCATTCCCGGCACTCGACACACCTTCCAGGCTCTCCTTAGAAGTGTCTCGCCTTTCGCGCTGCTCCATCTTTGCGCATTAGGTGGTAGTTAGTGCCCCGCGTGTCTCAGCTGATATCGCGCGTTCGAGCCCGCCTGGAGAAAATCCCTACTCCCTCCCCCCCCCGTCCTGACTTTTGTCTGACCGTACAAAATCGCCCATCGATTCTGGGCTTGCGTTGGACCACGCAGAAAAACAGGCGTTTTTGCGGATAATTTGAGGACGACTGCTGTGTTTTTTTCGTCCTGCATTATTTGTTCGGATGATTGGGAAGGGAGGAGGAGGAGGCTCCTGTGTCTTCGATGCGTGTAAACAGTCCCGGCCTTTGTTCGACAGTGTCTTTTGTTACTTCCCCTTCTGTCTGCAGGATGTCAGTGTAAACAGTATCATTTCCAGAGCAGTCGTGGGGTTATGCGGTCTAGAAGCGGGCTTTCCCCCCCAACCCCACCCCAACAGTAAAGAAAAACATCACGTAGGCAGTAGCAACGCAAAGATAAGAGATCAGAGCCATTTTGCGTCCGTGCCTCAACTATTATATTAGACCCCTTGTTGCACAGCGCGAAAGTAAATCGTCCGAAGTAAGTTGAGGTTAAAAAATAACTGGAGAGGGAGACATGAAGACAAGCTCGAGGCGACGAGACACCCTGCCAATTGCTCAGTAGTCTTCACAGCCCCGTGTCTAACGCGCTCAAAAAAAATTATCAAGCTATCAGAATGTAATCGGTTTTTGTGCTACCTGTTTATACAAGATAATGCAAAGTAAGTGTCGCCTGTCAGCGCTTTTTTTTCAGCCTGTAACAAACTAACCCAATTAGTCGTGTCACAATACACACTGAAATGCAATTTGATAAAAGTATATAAGCGCAAGTTTCATCCACCTGAGTGAGACCCTGTCTATCTCTCTTAACACATGATGGAAAAGAATCTGGTTCTTAGAGCCACCTAGACTAAAACGTGTCTTTTCGATGTTTCCGGCGGAAAATTCGAGCATTTTAGTATTACATGATTTCGACAATCCGCCTGGCATTTTAGATACCAGTTAAGCGATTACATGCTTTTGAAACTTTCTAACTGCCCAGCGCATACGTTCTTCGAAAGCAAACTTTATTTCTCGTCAAAAAACAGGAAGGTGCATTCTGATCTTCCATAGTATTTTGAACCCTAAAATCACTAACTGTAGTCTCACCCGAATAAAAGCCTAGAACATACCAAAATCAAATGCTCTGGTCGGGCCGACGAATTGCCTTCTGTCAAATACTATCTTTCAAGCAGGCCAGTTCTGTCAGAATAAGTTAGAAATGTCTCTTTTATGAGTCTGTTTTTGAGTAAATGATAGACCTCATGTACATCGATCTTTCATCAAGGAGATTTTGCCAACTATAAAGATGACATTTACATAGTCATTGTTTTGTTGATTTTCTGGTATTCGCCAGATGTTCAGCATTTGCTCCATATGTGACAGACTTATCTATTGAGGATTCAGATGGTTGATATTTTAAGACATAATACACCATTTTGGAATAAACTCTTCTGGACAAATCCTCTAAGGCTCGTACTGAAAGTTGATACGGGTACTTGAACCCAAATCCGTCGGAGGCCCTTCTGATATTAACCGTGCAGCGCTGTATGAGGAAGACGAGTATTATTCTGCATTCCTATCAGTAATGTCACACAACCTTGGTTACCTCTCCGACTTATAAGTCCAGTTAAAGTTTTTGATCAATTTTCTGTAACTCTCAGACGTACTCTCGGCAACACTTCAGACGCTTCTCAAAACAAGTTCCTATTCTAATATTGGCCTAGAAGTACTGGAAATGTGTTGGGAGTAAGTTCGCCGATTGGGCTTCGGGATATGATCATCTTCTGGTATCAGTCCCTTG